TCTTTGGCAAAATAAGCCCATACCTGCATTTTTTTTTTGAAATAGAAATTATACCATTATATTTAAATGTTAAAACATGTCTGTGAACACTTAAGTTTCTGATCTTCAGACACCTCCAAGTTCTAATGTGCTAAGATTTTTTAGTTATAACTCTAAGTGATTATTTGCAGGCACAAGCCAAACTCAAACACCATTTTAATCCAAGAAGAGAAGTAACTGAAGAGTACAGAAATGATTTTGATGGCAAAACGATACGAAGGTTTTTAAAAGAACATGTTAGTGGAAAGCTCAGTTCAAGTCCATTAAAAATAAAAAATGCTCTGAATTATCTGATCAGGAAAATAAATCCCCCTGCCGCCCTACTGTGCAGCTACACAGTTCTAAAGAAGTTACTGATTGGATGATATCACCCACCCTTTAAAAAAAAAAAGATTATATTAACTGAAAAACCCAAGAAGTCATCGGATAGACTCTCATTACACATTATTAAGCTTTGTATTGGAGCATCTGAGAGGACCATCCCATCAGAGCCAACTCCTTTAGTTTCTCACATTTTGGCCTTTAAAGATGCAGCCATCACACGAAGCCACATCGAAAGCACGGATTATAACATCAAACGTAAAACTTGTAAGGACATACAATACTTGTCTCCTACGGCACCGCACACTCCAGTTCCCTATATGCCTACCCTTTTCTGTGGCTTCTCAGCACATTCCTAAACCCAGAAGGGGTGGCGGGAGTCGGAACTTGAGCGGCAAGAACAAGGCCCTCTAAGGGAGCCAGGGATGGCCTCTTCTCACTGCCCCTGGAGGCATCCAAGCCGGGAGAAACTCAAGCGCGGGGTAGGCAGCAAGACTGAGGGGCCTCAGACCGAGCTTTTGGAAAATAGAAAAGTCTCGCTCTCTGCCCCTCAGCCTAACTTCCTTTATTTCCTCACAAGTTTCTCCCTCAAAACTTCGGGCTTCCATCCTGGAAAATATAGGGGAAAGGGGGAGGGGAATGTGTTCCTCAGGATTCCTCGCTTCTCCCCGTCTCTATCCCTGACGATTCAGCCCCTTCACTTGCAGCGCGCTTTTACTCCGCGGCCAAAGACACAGTCGCCGTGGTTTCTCCTTCCCCAGCCTAACCCTAACTCCCGTATCACACTCACTGCCTGCCCGGAATCGCCATCTTGCTCCGGTCGCCGCAGAACGCGGCTGACGCCGACGCGACGCTGACGCAGACGCTGACGTAGTCACGTAAACTCTCGCGCGACTTCGGGCGGCCGGGAATCCGCTTAGCCGCTAAATCGCTTTTGAAGTAGTAGATTCGAACGCTGTGTGGGAACTTAGTTCTTTGGTCTTCGGTTTCATTTGGGAGCCGACTGACTGCTTCGAAATCACTGGGAAGAAAAGAATGACACAATTCTAGGCCAGTGGTTCCTAAGGTGTGGTCCCGGGACCAACAGGTTAGCATTATCCGGGAATTTGTTGAAAATGCAAAATAGCGGGTCCTCTCCCAGAGCTACTGTATCAGGAACTCTGGAAATGAGTTGTTCAGGATGAGTACATCGGGCTCCGGGTACTTTGGCAGAAGGTGAAAATCTATGTCCTCATAGTGTCTCAGAACCAAATTGCTTAATAATACTGTAATACCAATGGGTATAGGAATCAAAAGCAAATACCTTATTCTTTTAAAAAAAATTCTAGTCATATTCACTGTGCATCCACTTACTCTTGGCCCATTCCAAACTAGTCTTATTGCAGCAGAAAAAAACTTTCAATTTCTACAGAAGGATGTTTTAAGTCTGCATCTAGATTTGTCTATTTCTTTTAAAAAATATATTTTATTGATTTTTTTTACAGAGAGAAAGGGAGAAAGAGAGCTAGAAACATTGATGAGAGAGAAACATTGATCAGCTGCCTCCTGCACACTCCCCACTGGGGATTGCCTGCAACCAAGGTACATGCCCTTGATCGGAATTGAACCGGGGACCCTTGAGTCAGCAGGCTGACGCTCTATTCACTGAGCCAAACCGGTTTCAGCTGTCTATTTCTTTTAATAAGTTTTTGTTTTAAGTATGTTGAAACATTTAGGATTATTAAGTTCTCGTTCATTGACCCCTGAACCATTAAAAAATAACCCCTTTTTTCCTCCCCTGTAAGATCTTTATATTTATTCCATAACAATGGAATCTCTGCTTTCATCAGTTTATTCTCTAGTAAAAACTGGACTGCAATGCCATTACTTTGACTTAATGACCTTCTCTCAAACAAGACTATTAAGGAAAGGCAATAATGATACTAATGATTCGTTCAGATGCCCATTTACATCTTTAATTTATCACAGACTGTCTTCACGTAAAAATATATCACTTAATGTATAGTATAAAACAATTTTATAGCTCTGGCTGGATAGCTCAATTGATTTGGATTGTCTACACCAGTGTTTCCCAAACTTTTGACATATGTGTACCCCTTCTATAATTTTCATAATGCTGAGTACCCCTCATACTCATGAGAACGTAGAATTAGGCACAGCTAAGCACGGTGCAGTGCATATCCCCAGCAAACTCCGATGCAACACGTACCCCCACCAAACTCTTCCCGTACCCCTGGGGGTACGCGTACCACACTTTGGGAAACACTGGTCTACATCATACAGTGTCATTGTTACTTGTAACTATGGAGAGTCAATAAAAATCCTACTATTTTAGTCTAGGTTTCTGAATTAGAAGTAAATGTAAATAAATCAATAAATCTATATAGTCCAGCAATTTTCAACTGGTCTGTCGCAAGGATTATTTTAAAAAATATATTTTTATTCATTTCAGGGAGGAAGGGAGAGGGAGACAGAGAGAAAGAAAACATGAGTAATGAGAGAGAATCATTGATAGGCTGCCTCCTACATGCCCCCACTGGGGATTGAGCCCACAACCCCCTGCATGTGCTCTTGACTGGAATAAAATCCAGGACCCTTTATCCACTGAGCCAAACCGGCTAGTGTTGTCACAGGGATTTTAAAACATGTAGTATCTGACACTAAGTAGTCAACTGATGTGCTGCAGCACACACATTTTAAAAATTCCTGTGGCACACTTACTGAAAATCACCTATTGAAATATAAATCTATATCTATACTTTTGTTAAATATAAGAAATATCTTCACTAAAAAGTAAGTTCCATGCCTGACTGGCATGGCTCAGAGATTGAATGTCAACCTATGGACCAAGAGGCCTCCATTCGATTCCTGGTCAGGGTACAAGACCGCGTTACAGGTTCCATCCCCAGGACTTGATTCTCAGTGTGGGGTGTGCAAGAGGCCAGCCAATGATTCTCTCTCATCGTAGATGTTTTTATCAACCAATCTGCTTTGCTGGTTGTTTAATTTTAAAGTAATTTCCAAAAGCCTGAGTGCACAATTATTAGCCTAGAAAGGGTGGAAAGTGTTAGGTGTCTGGGGCGCTGGCAAGGGTAGTAACTCTTCCCTATCTCTTACTAGTTATTGTGGCCTAGGTAACTCACGTACTCTTAGAGACTTTCTCACTTATAAAATGGAGGTAATATTGAGACTGCCTATCTTACAGGCTATTGAGAAGATAAAATGAGCTATTATGTGTAAATATTTCAAACAAGTTAAAGCACCATGCTAATATATTATCATTAGGCTAAATGCCCTTTAGTCAACTATTCCCAGGATAGTGGTTAAAAAGGTAGCATTTGATAAAAATTTGCCCTTCTTGCTGCCTAAAATACCATTTGTATTCACAGTGAACCCTTTATAAGCTGTTCTGAAGCCATCAGGATATGGGGCTATCAGTTTAATATCTTTAAGAACCTTGTTCCTAGAAATGTTGCTGCAAATGTCCTTAAAAGCCCTCTTTCTAATACAAAAGAGGCTTACCGGTTAAAACTGGGCATGCGATCATTCCAGAGATGAGGATTGGTAATAACACTGCCATCTTATCAGAAAAGGTTAAAAAGGGACCTCAAATTATAAGATGTTTGGAACACCACATATTTTTTCAACCAAATAAAAAAAATGAAGTTTAATTTCCCCAAATTTTATTAAAAATGGATTGTCATCAGATATTTTATTGCAAAGATGAAATCTCACAACAGAGTAGTCAAGTTTGCTGTACTAACAAACTTTAAATATAAATTCTTTTTGCAGTTCTTGAACTCGAGAGGTTTATGTTATTTTTTTGTGATGCATTTTTAAAAAATGTTATTTTATTATTTAAAGTATTACAAATAGTAGTACATATATCTCTTTCTTTCCCCCCCATTGACCTTCCCTCAGTCTCCCTATGTTATTATCTTTTTAAGGTGTTTTCTTTTTTTCCATGAGTCATGGACAAACATTTTCCCACAAGGATTTCTATTCATTGAAATAACTTGTTACTAAAGTAAGCGCGTGTGTGGTGATGAGGGAGAAATGGTAGTATTCATATTAGTCCGAAAAAATTAGAAAAACAATTCCCAGTCCATTTCTTAAAATCTTTATTATTTGGTACTCTTTTTGATGTAAAAACTGCCATTTTATTTTATAAATCTTCGGTCTTTACTTTGTACCTTAAAAGAATGAAAATAACTTTGTTAGTCAATCATAATAGTACCATGGCAGATATAAAACTGAAATTGAAAGGAGAAGTTTTGAATATATTTCTATAACGTGCATTTGTTTATGGCTACCTTAACTGTATATTTTTTAGATCAAACTTCTCCTTAGGTAGCATTTTGGTTTTAAAAAGTGCAGAGGCAGCCAAGATCGGTTTGGCTCAGTGGCCTGCGGACTGAAAGGACCTGGGTTCGATTCCTGTCAAAGGGCATGTACCTTGGTTGCGGGCACATTCCCAGTGGGGAGTGTGCAGGAGGCAGCTGGTTGATGTATCTCTCTCATAGACTTTTCTAACTATCCCTCTCACTTCCACTCTGTGTAAAATCAATAAAATATATATATATATATATATATATATATATATATATATATTTTTTTTTTTTTTTTTTTTTTTTAAAGTGCAGAGGCAAGTGTCTAGGAGCAGAATATGTCTATATGTCTATTTTCTTCCAATTGAAAATATTTTATAGTTAACAAAACTGAACATAAGAAAAACATTCTAAATATAGCACCAATTCCATTAGCATTTACCTAGCAAGCTTGCACCTGGCATTTTTGCATACACACTGGAGTCAGCCTTTGAGGGCAATGGGGGTATAATATCACTATGGAGTTTTTTGTTTAGTTCTATGAGAGCTAAACAGATATGTAACCAGTGGTATAGGTACTCCACGACTTTACTACGCGATTTCCACACCTCCGTTCGAGAATGACCTGCACCAAAGGGGAAAAAATGTTAGTGTGAATAGTTTTGCACATTTTAAAATTAAAATATGAGTTCCAGTATTATGATGAAAGTTCGTTAGATATGTTTGGAGTAAAAACCATAGCAGAATCTTGTTTAAACATCTAAGGATTTAAAAATTTTGGTGTAGTCATCTAATGAAATACTACACAGCATTTAACAACAATTAAAGAACTAGAACTATATATATCATGTGGATAAATCTCAAAACATCATTGAGCACAAAATGTAAGTTGTAGGATAATATGTACTTTGGATACAATTTTTAAGTTTTAAAACCTGTAAAATAAAAATATATTGTTTATGGATTCATAAATATGTAGTAAAAGTAAGAAACCATGCATAATAAATACCAAATTCATAACAGTATTATCTCTAGGGAGGAAGAAAATAGGATCAGGGAGGGGTAGAAAGTCTCAACTGTTCCTTTAATTTTTAAAAAAATATATTTTATTGATTTTTCACAGAGAGGAAGAGAGAAGGATAGAGAGTTAGAAACATTGATGAGAGAGAATCATCGATCAGCTGCCTCTTGCACACCCCCTACTGGGGATGTGCCCGCAACCAAGGTACTTGCCCTTGACTGGAATCGAACCTAGGATCTTTCAGTCCGCAGGCTGACACTCTATCCACTGAGCCAAACCGGTCCCAGCCCTTTAATGTTTTTTTTGTTTGTTTGTTTGTGTTTTTTTTTTTAAATATATATTTTATTGATTTTGTACAGAGAGGAAGGGAGAGAGATAGAGAGTTAGAAACATCGATGAGAGAGAGTCATCGATCAGCTGCCTCTTGCACACCCCCTACTGGGGATATGCCCGAAACCAAGGTACATGCCTTGACCGGAATCGAACCCGGGACCCTTCAGTCCCCAAGCCGACGCTCTATCCATTGAGCCAAACCGGTCTCGGCCCCTTTAATGTTTTTTGTTGTTAATCCTCACTGGAGAATATTTTTCCATTGATTTTTAGAGAGTGGGAGGAAGGGAGGGAGAGGAAGAGAGAGAGACAGATGGACAGACATTAATATGAGAGAACATTGGTTGTGTTCCATTCCCACCCCAACTGGGCTGTGATCAAACCTGTAACCCTTCTGTGCTCTCATTGACACTAATCATTGAAGCAACACTGGCCAGGGCCCTATAATGTTTTCTTTCTTTAAAAAGGTCTGACTTGCCCTAACCGGTTTGGCTTAATGGATAGAGCCTTGGCCTGTGGACTCAAGATTTCGATTTTGGTCAAAGGCATATACCTTGGTTGTGGGCACATACACATTAGGGAGTGTGCAGGAAGCAGCTGATCGATGCTTCTCTCTCATCAATGTTTCTAACTCTCTATCCCTCTCACTTCCTCTCTGTAAAAAATAAACAAAATATATTATAAAAAAAAAAAGTCTGACTCAAACATGCATAACATTAAGGTTAGATATAGAATATGGGTCCATAATGACTACAGATGTTAGTCTCAAACTTCTATGTTTGAAATATTTAATTTAAAATTATTTTTAAAATATAGAATCACTACATACCATTAAGATTCATTTGTTAAATTGCAAACCATTAAACTGCCATTTATAAAAGTTACTTTTTCCCAGAAGTCAATGACTAATGGTCAGATAGAATAGTCTAATGGAAAGAGAATGTACTGTAGAGCTGAACAGATCTGGGTTCTAATTATTTTTTTAAAATATTTTTTTCATTGATTTCAGAGAGAGGAACAAAGAGGGAGAAAAGGATAGAAATATGAATGATGACAGAGAATCATTGATCAGCTGCCTCCTATACAGCTCCAGGCATGTGCCCTGGGTTCATCGGTTGACATTCAACCACTGAGCTACATCAGCCAGGCATGGCTTCTAATCTTGACTTTACCCCAACTAGTCTTGTGCCCTGGAGCAGATCACCTAATTGTTCTGAGCCTGTTTTTTTCTTCCACAAAACAGGGATAATACCTCAGAATTGTTATGAAAATTAATGAGAAAAGATATGTGAAAATGTGTCTCAGAGTAGTTGCTAAAAATATATTAATTACCTTCTTTCAGATGCCTCCCATTCTCATGTCTATGCCTAACCCAATAATGTTTGCTGATTTGAGTTGAATAAACCATAAATCCTATCTAATAAAGAGGTAATATGCAAATTGACCATCACTCCAACACACAAGATGGCCACTCCCATTTCATCAAAGATGCCTGCCCCCATGTGGTCACAAGATGAGAGGGGAGGGCAGTTGTGGGCAATCAGGCCAGCAGGAGAGGGCAGTTGGGAGGGACCAGGCCTGAAAGGGAGGGCAGTTAGGGGCACCAGGCCAGCAGAGGAGGGCAGTTAGGGGTGACCCGGCCAGCAGGAGAGGAGAGTTAGGGGCAATCAGGCCTGCAGAGGGGCAATCAGGCCTGCAGTTAGGGGCAATCGGCCCTGCAGGGGAAGACAGTTAGGGGCAATCAGGCTGGCAAGGGAGGGCAGTTAGGAGCGACCAGGCTGGCAAGGGAGGGCAGTTAGGAGCGACCAGGCTGGCAAGGGAGGGCAGTTAGGGTCAATCAGGCCAGCAGGGGAGCAGTTAATCATAGATCAGACTGGCAGGGGAGTGGTTAGGGGGTGATCAGGCTGGCAGGCATAAGTGGTTAGCGGCACTCAGTCAGGCAGGCAGGCAGGCAGGCAAACAATTGGGAGCAAGCAGTCCTGGCTTTTGAGAGTGATGTCTGACTGCCTGTTTAGGTCCAATCCCGGTGGGCAGTCAGACATCCCTTGAGGGGTCCCAGATTGGAGAGGGTGGATGCTGGGTGAAGGACCCCCCCAACTCCCGTGCATGCATTTCATGTATCGGGCCTCTAGTAATACTTATAATTGAATAAGAGGTTTTAAATATCATCTCCTATCCATAGCTCTTTTTTAAAAAAAATTGATTTTAGAGTGAAAGGTAGGGAGGGGGTCAGAGAGACAGAGAGAAAGAGAAACATGGATTGGTTGCCTCCCAACCAGGGATTGAACCCACAATCTGAACATGTGCCCTAACTGGGAATCAAACTAGTGACCTTTAGGTGCATGGGACAGTGCTCAACAACCGAGCCATATTGGCCAGGGCTATCCATAGCTCTTTAACAATGATAATTGTACTTATGGATATCTATTAAATGGAAGACAACATATCTTACTTCCCTATCTTCTGTCAACATGAGAAGGTACATAAAATGTGAAAAACATTCAAAAGTCTCAAAAAAATTTTTTAAACTGTAAAATGCAGACACAATGTTTTAAGTTCTAGAATTCTTTTTTAATGCATGAGCCACACACACACACAGGCACTGCCTTCTTCCAATTATAAGTGTTCAATAAATGTTGAGTTGAAACAACATTCAATTATGGACTAGTTAAATTAGGTTTTTCAAATATTAAGTCTTTTCAGATTATAACTCAGTAACATTAGTGACCATTATGAATGAAAACAAATGCTGATCATGACAGCACATGAAATGTACCTGATTCTTCTCATGGGTAATACTAGACCAATCAACATACAAATGTACAATTTTGAAGTGCATTTGTTATAATCGATCCCTTTTTTGTATTTATTAGTTCCTGAAACAAAGTAATGCTATAGGCTGCAAAGATTACTCTGATTATCTTAGTGTTATGAATTTAATTAAATAAAATAAAAGTTCACCCCAGAATACTTCTAAAATCAGTCCTGATTTTCTGACAAATACAGCTCTCCTGCTCCCCACAGCTTTTATTCTCCCCTTCCTAAATCCCCATCAAGAGCTCTGTTTCTTTGATGCCTGCCACAATGTTCTTATCTGACAGCCAAATGAATACTCTCCTATCTGCAACCATTATTAAGCCAGTCAGCCATCTCCATGGTGATCTGAGGACACAAGAATAGGGAGCGAGGTCACTCCCTTTCACAAGCCCCTGTTGCTTATTTCCTGTCTTGTTACCAGGGACAGAAGCTCCAAGCCTGTCTGGGCCATAGTTTCTGTTTCCTGCTCTTTCCAATGAGAGATTGATGTATAAACTGGCTTTAATTTATTCCTCTAATGAAGCCCCCATTGCTCCGTGGCAGTGATTTTCAACCTTCTTCATCTCATGGCACACATAAACCAATTACTAAAATTCTGTGGCACACCAAAAAAAAAAAATTTTTTTCCCCAATCTGACAAAAAATATATATATATATTCTTTTGATTTATTCACACCTGAAAGCTATTGTGTTGGCTGTTGTCACTTTTTTAAATTTGACAATCTAAAAAAGAGGTCAGTGCTCCTCACTAAATAGGTATTGCACGTTTTAAAAATTCTTGTGGCACAACAGTGTGTGGTAACACCTGAAGGGGTTGAAAATTGCTGCTCTGTGGGGTTAACAGTGGCTGAGCACTGCTGCTCTCTTGTGGTGGACAGACACCAGATCTTTGCAGTAGTTTGCACAGATTTTACAATTCTTTCAAGCAGATGTACTACCTTTTTTTTTTTTTTTTTTTTTTTTTCTCCTTTTCTAACTATAAGAAATTGTGGGGGGGTTTTTTGTTTGTTTTTTGTTTTGCTTTGCATTGGTAAGGGTTATAGTAAATAATTTGAAGACATCTGAGCTAAAATAATTGCTGAGACAAAGTTTGAATCTGTTTATAAACCTATTGATTTCAAAACAGATTCAAGTTTAATCAAACTTTTAATTACAATAGGAAATGCATTTTGCTTAAAAACAGAATGTTCTAATGAAATCTCCCTTTATGGGTCTCTGCTTTAATACTGGATTAAGTTAAATCTTCTACTTTTTTTCTCGAGTTATCAAAGTTTGGGTGTAAGTTTATTCCAGGCTGAACACTGAGTTCTTGCATTAATTTCATTCCTATTGTAAGCACAACTTCTGTATAATATCACATTGTATTGGCTTTTTAAAATGATGTCGCCATAAATCAAATTACGTATAAATTGAAATCAATGCAATTTATCTTTATAAAAATTCATACTTTAATACAG